TTTGCCAACAATGATGAGAAGGTATTGATTCATTTCCCTGTTTCACTTGAGGTAAATATGGGTGTAGCATGATAATTTGTGAGTTCAAATTTCGTTGATGTGCTAAGTGCTATGTATTTCATTTTAGCTAGGATTTGGTTTCAGTTGGTTTTCCTATCTTATTTACGTTTGTTACAAAAAAAAGAAGTAATGTTAGCTGTGAAACATAGAACACCAATGCTTCATCCTGTCATATGATCTCTTTACATTCCGTTTTCTTTCATCAGGGAAGCCCAGAAGAGTCCAAGCCTGCACCTTTGGATTCTGAAAATCATTTGATAAGATCAAATGAAGAGGTGAGATTCTATTAACGATGGGTGGGAGGGGTTCATCTTGTGATTTTTCCAATTATATGGAAGATTCTAAGATGTAACATTTCAAACTTGATGCACCAAGAATTTTTTTGTCTAGTTTGAAGTGAACTCGATATACTCCATTCCAGCAAAGATGTGGCCTTGTTTGAATCTTGCCATGTATAGATTGCATAAGCTATACAAAAGAATTGTGTTGCAAACTTTTAATATTTTGTTGTCTTGTTGCATGAGTTCAATGGTTATAATTATCGGTTTGCAAGTGACTACATTATGTTGATTTACCAAATGTTGCCCACTGATATTTAGGACTTCGCACAAAGTTCTCATCCATTACTCATCCAGATGGAGAATTCCTCGGTCAACCTAGATGATGAGGTATGGGACTTGTCACAAACAACTTCTTTTGGGGTTTTTTCTTGTCCGATACAAGCAAATTTCATTTTAATGGGTTAGCATTCGATAATCACGCAATGGACTGTCTAAGTTCGTTTACATGGTAATTAGGACATGCAGGAAACACTGGAAGAACTTGCCGATGCTTCCGAGTCGGATTTTGAGATTCCTTCACATTTTGACGAGCAGGCAGGTCTTTTTCTTGAGCAGACCTGAAAAGTAACCATATAAGCCAAAAATGTTACTTGCTGCAAGTTCCTGAAATACAAAACTTTTACAGGTTGACATCGATGATATCGGGACCGTGTGGCCTGGGACTTGAGATCTTTTCCGATCCTATGAGGTGGAGGTTTACTTCCGCTGACATGTTTTGATCAAGGCAAAAGCCGCTATCGACTTAACTATAGGTTTCCGGAGATCTGATATTTATACACACTGGATCAGGATGAGGATCATCCCCTTTGTATGCGAGTGCTAAATTTTCAACAGCCCTTTGTGTTTTGCTGTAATTGTAATGTGAATAATATATTATTGCCCCTTATCTCCCCTTGTTTATGAAAATCGCGTTTATAAAGAGAGAGTGGTGCTTTTATCAATATATGGTTTTCTATTTTTATGTAAACTAACCATCAATCATTAAATTAAGGATCAGTTCAATTTTTGTCGTTAAACTAATTTTTTTTTATCTAATTACTAAATATACAAATTAGTATAAATTCTATGAATTTGATCTTTAATCTTAAATAAATGAATAAATCTTATTCTCTACACTTATACAATCTTGTACAAAAATTTGTTGTTATACATATTAAATATATAATAATCTTGAAACATTTTAGACCGATACCAATATATTTGTATCAATTAATATAATACTTGAATATTTTGAGCTATCCTGACCATTTCTTTTCCATACAATAATAATATAATCTTGAAATTAAAATTTTGATGTTTGAAACGATACACTATTGATGAGCTTACATGTACCACATGGCCATGGTGCAATAACTGACCTACAACTTCTGGACTCCAAAGGAATTCTTTTTATATAACTATATTCAACTTGCCAATTAATTCAAACTGAATAACACAAAAAATTATTATGGAGGCAATCCTCTCGACCTATTTTTCTCTATTCAGATCATCAAGAGGTTTGACCTTGAAAGACCTAACGTCTTATCCCAGTAGATAAGATGATAGTTATTTTTCTTCCAAATTATCACAAGGCAAAATAGAAATTACACGTTTCTTCCCAGAAATACTGAGGATAAGTGCATTCAAATATCACATAAATACTTTAAAAAGAAACAAAATTGGATACGAACACCATAGGGCAGCATCAACAAATAGACAGAATGTAAAAAGGAATGGCTATATACAAATGAAAAACTAAACTTTCAGAGGGGGCAAAAAGAAAGCATTTTTTTCACTCACATTATTGTTTAGGGAGCAATAAATTCTCACTCCGATTATTCTTCTGGGAGCGATTTACGGTAGTAGAACAAGGAAATTATATTGAGCAAAAAAAGCAAATGCATAATAGATGACTTGCGGATATCTAGCCGTCAAAAATAACACTGGCTTACCATTACGCTGCCTTCGGTTGGAGGAATTCCAATAATTTAGGGGGAGAAGAAGAATAAAAATGCATCCATATTTGATAAAAAGAAACAGGTCCGAGATGCAAAATTGCACATTCAAACAGCTTACAGATCAACTGTAGGGTAGAGGTCTGGCATGTAACCGCGTCCGTTTCCGGTTGAATCTGCGGTACCACTAAACAAGTGTAGTTGTAGCTCCCCCGAGTGAGACGAGACACGAGATTTTGTGATTTTAGGGGAAGCTGCATAGGAATCGTTTGAACCACTACTTGAGGAATACATTGATGATGTTCGGCAATCCATGAATCTTTGGCAGGCCTGTTGATCGGAGCCCAAACTGTATCCCCTCTCAACTGTTTCAGCTTCCAAAGGCAATTCGTCCGATGTCTATAAAAAATATTAAAAAGAAGTAAATGCAGGCTTTATTTCGAGAAACCAGAATTAAGCAACAGCAAGAGCACCAGCAACGCATAATCAAGTAATGTATTTCATTCTAGAGATTATAATATGTTGACATGTTGATACGCAGTCGAGAGAACCCACCCTGAATGCCTGTTGGAGAACTCGGAGTGTTTCTCGAGTACGATTCCTCTTAGAAGCAATCTCATCAGGTTCCTGTAACATCTCTTCAAACAGGTTTTCTCTGTTCCGGATCATAAGATATACAGGATAATCAACAGTCAACAAGATTGTCAAAAGGATATATAATTAAAATCAAGTCTAAAGACACAAAGCTCTATATCACCTGTAAAGCCTTCTGATAAAAATATTGTGAAGCTCACGTTTCAAATGATTTACCTGGATATAGATATTGTTGACAGAGATTAATAATCATGCAATACTTCAATGTAACATTGGACCACAAACTATTGTTAGCAATACAGTCTTGTACTCATGGAAAACTACAGCATTTTTAGGATCTGATATAAGGAACATATGACACACATAAACCTCTTAGAACTCGAGCAAAGTTTTTGATTAACTGGCTAGGTCCATTCTTCAATTGGACAATCATACCACATTCATACAACCATGTTTTGTGACCAGTCTACCAATTAAAAAACAGATTAGCCAATATAAACAGTAACACTGTTCAGCGTGCTTAATATGTACATTTCTCCACATTGAACTAGTGGAGGATGGAAATCAACATATTTAGCACCAAATATTATTTAGGACGAGACACATAGTTGCTAACCTGATATAGAGGTGAAAATGGAAATTAATTTGGCCAGAATATAATGATATACGATCTCCTTATGGCAGCACCACAATGCTTTCGGAATTTTATTTGTCAGGAATTTGAACGTGAACCCATTAAACAGAAAAAGACACAAGGATGTGTAATTAACAAATTTACTCGGTTTAAAACTTACCAAGAAGTGCATAATTGCTTTAGGCACAGATTCCTCTATATTCTTCCTAACAATGTCATAATATGATCTTAAGAGCAATTTGGTGATAGCAATTTCAATAGCTTCAGTTTCTGAATATTCTGAAGGAGTCAACAGAGTGGGGGGCTGAAAAAAATAAAAAAACTTGTCACAATAAACACATTTTTTTAATCTAACACAAGTTCCTTGATGAATTGATCCGTACGCACCTCCCTCAAATGGATCATGGAGAAGGCATGTTTGATGTTTTGAGCAGGTTCTGTATATGGTTTGTTTGTCAAGACCTCTTTCACGGTTGAGCGGTTATCATTGCCACCAAATATTGATGAGATACCCCAAGTTGACCCACTTGTGCTTCCTGATAAAACCCACATAGAGAACATCATTTTATTGTTGTGTTGAAAATTCACATAATACAATCCCCCAAAGCCATATTTTTAAGAGAATCCTTAATACTTGGCCATCATATCATACAAGTACCACAGAAAGAACATCAAACTTTAGCACAACAAATTTAACTAAATTCATAATGACAGCCTACCAGTCGATGGTACTTTCTCAACATCTGAGGCAGGACGGACTACCTGCACGAAGAGTAAAAAGCTGCAATGAATAGATGACTTATGATAAGGGAAAAAAAGGATGGGAAAAGCAAAGCAGGAAGATCATAGATTAAGCAGCAAAAACCAATTTTTCATGCCTTCTCAGCAGCAATTACATTAACTTGTCTTGCAATAATAGCCAGAGATTTAGTGTTTCTTTCAGAAGTAGGTGCCTTATCAGGCTCCAAACCATCCTGATTAAGGTAATAAAGAAACAAGGAAAGAATGAAAAACAAGAGGAATCAGGAATAAATAAAAGCATTGATACCAGAGAAATGACTACTAGCGGGGGCCTACCTTTGCTTTAGATACAGGCACCAGAACCCTGGAATTCTTTTTCTGTTGATTGGCAAGCTCTACAGCCTTGCTCCCACCAATAAAATTTGGGCGGGAAGTATTTATGTAATCCATCTGCAAAATTGAAGGGGGTGTGTCAAAAGTGAGAGAAGTGCTCGGAAAATATCATGAATGTAACAAGTATTGCACAACATTACCAAGTTCATGACTTATAACACAATTAGGACCAGAAACATAAAATAACAATAAATGAAAATTAAGAGAACTATGCCTCCATTTCAATAATATGTCCTAACATTGTCTCAGATGGTTCGAGGCCATCTTGATGAAAATTCCCAATAACTTGGTCCATATGCTTTCTAAGAACAGGAAACCGATGCAATTCATTCATCATACAGCGATGACTAATCTGGATACAAAATGATTCCATTAGAAAACTTAGATTGACAAGTGATAGAGCCGTGAGACTACAATGATAAGCTGGAATACAAATCACCTTTATTAACTCATCATATATGAACCTGGCACATTGAAGACTTGGATCTAGCAAACGTGCTATTTTCCTTCTTACAAGCGCTTCAAACGGGGCCTACATATCAAAGTTCTATCACATCAATATGCACCAAGTTCAACATAAAAGAATTCCAGGAAACCAGTTTGGGGGGAAAAGATTGTTCTTAGATAAAAATGATTCAAAATATGAGCCAGTAGAATGTACTTCAGGTACAAATAGTGCAGATCAAGGACCAGTTGCATTTTGAATGGCAGTTCGTATGTCATCATCAGTCAAGCCTTCACATGGATCTACCTCCTGTACACAAATCAGTTAATAGAAAAACTCAAAATCAGCATCAAGTGAAGCAATTACATAAAGGCTCTCATTCAGAGGCAATTCTGAGGCTCTGAGCAATTTCTAAAGTTGCAGTGTAATAACTAAAGTCTGTTTTACATGAAGCAGTAGCCCAGCAAAAGAAATTAATATCATGAAACCAAAATACCACTTGTATCAATAAGGTTTTGTCATATTTATTTGGAACATCCTGTCCTTGCAGACAACTAGTGCACAATCACATGGGGAGTGAAATGCACTCAACACTAGAATCAATAGAATATTAATGATAAATGATAGAGATGTATAATATACGCACTTCTAAGATGGAATGGAAACGAAATCCAACAGAAAAAAATCCTAAGTGAAAGCACATTCTAATATCAAAGGCACAGATATCAGTCTACACACCTCTAAGCTCTTAACAAAGATTGATTGGAAAATATAGTGAATCCTTGCTCCACCAGACAGTTCAAATGTAGACATCTGTTCATTTTTCCCCTCAACCATTGATGAGAAAGCTGTTTCCAACGTGGCACAGATTCACGGTATCATACCAACATAGTATAATGTAATAACAGGTGGTTCAAAATAATAATAAGAAATTTACAGAAAGCAAAACAAAACCCTCACAGTACTTTGACAGAATATTCAGCAGAAGAGCTCCCTGGCCAGCCTATAGGTTACGAAACCATAGTCTTGTAATAAGAAAATTATTCTGGGTGCTTTTTGCACAACCAAATTCAGATATACATGTCTTTGATTCAGTGATTTCTCCATAGCTTGCATGCTCCTTTGCCACAGAAACCAGTGCCGAACTAATGCGTTATTTCAGTCCAGGAAGTATTGCCTTGATATGTTGTACAAAAATCTCACGGGAAACAACTAATAAAAACTCAGCAAAGCAATAAAAGAAACAAAAAAAAATCCCCAACACAAAGCATACATGTCTTTTTTTTTCATGCTCGACAAACAGGATGCAAATAAGTACTCAACAAGCATAAACTCTTAAACAACTCTTTAGAGCAAAGAGGAGACTTGATTCAGATAAAAGGTGCAAGGCAATCAGGAGCACTTGAGATAAATAAGGCTGCCGACTTAGATAGAGTGAAATTATGCAAATTCTATAGTAGGCCTGTTCCAATCTGGTTGGAAGTAGATAGTAGAATTTTTCCCACCAAATGCATAAACAGGGGGATAGATACAGAAAGGACTACGTAAACATTTATAGTAAGTGTGGGCACAGTACCTGAAGCTTCACAGGCACATGATATTTATTATTAGAACGTAAGTACTATCAAGGCAGATCATTCACAAGACAATCAACCAGATTCTTAGCCTACAATCATGCAAATCTTCTCACCGAGAATAATGCCTCTGATCTCTTCAATCAATGTAAATAGATAGTGCAGCAGGTTTTCAGCAATAGATAATACAGTTCGAATTGTGGCTGGCTTAACCATAGGACTAAAGGTCTCTTTATAATCTAATCCTGGACGTTGGTGATACCCTTTTGCCACAAGGCGGGCTTTAAACCGATCCACATACCCATCAGGTTTACGCTTCACTCGAAAAACCCATTTGCAGCCTACTGGACTGCAATGACTTGGAGGGGGAACCAGGTCTCAAGTGCCATGCCGCATGAGTGCAGTGAGTTCATGGGACATGGCCTCACGCCAGTGAGGTTCAGAGACAGCTTGACTCACACATGTGGGCTCAATGGTGTCGGGTAAGGGATGTTTGGTAACAGTGTGCAACTGTTTTGGCTTGAAGATTTGGTTCATAGACCGAGTGGTCATATGATGGGTTCGGGAAGTGGATGAGTGAGGGTTTCGGGAGGGATTTTGAAGGGGAAGGTAAGATGGATGGGTAGAGCTATCTCCTAGGTCAGGATTGACAGAGGGAGTGGAGGAGGGATTTAGATTCGGCAACAAGTTGGGTGAGAAGGGGTTTGCAGATGTCGGGTTGTCAACATTTGAATCTAAATGCAATTGAGTTTGTAAATCAAAAGAAGTAGAGAACCGAGATGTACCTAGAGGTGCAGTGACTATGGTGGGAGAACCTGTCGGAGGCACTGGTGGCGACGGAAGTGACACGGGCGGCAGAGCAGCTGGAACCGAATGTGGAACTTTGGAGAGACTCAGAGGAGTAGAGAGTGATGTAGAGGAAGGTTCAGTCAAAGGGTTTTGGGCCTCGTCAAATAAAACATGGCGTGAGATGTACAGGCGCCGTGTTGTTAGATCGAGACAACGATAAGCATTCTGAGTGAGGGAATAGCCCAAAAAAATGCAGGGTGTGGATTTTGGGCCCATTTTGTGTATGTTGTACGGTTTGGTGAGTGGATAACACAAACAACCAAATTTTCTTAATTTAATATAATTTGGTGGTTGACCAAAAAGAGCTTGGTACGGAGAGATATTTTGGAGTAAAGGTGTGGGTTGACGATTTATAAGATATGTGGCTGTTTGAAATGCATGTGGCCAATAAGTGAGAGGTAAATTTGCATCATGAAGCAAAGTAAGACCAGTTTCTACTAGATGACGGTGACGTCGTTCCGAGATACCATTTTGTTGTGGACATTAATAATGCTTTCTTGCATGGGGAACTTACTGAAACCGTCTACATGCTACAACCCCCAGGCTTTAAAGATTTAACCAAGCCTGACTATGTCTGTCGCCTTCGCAAGGCTATCTATGGTTTAAAACAGGCACCTCGTGCGTGGTACTCAGCCCTGAAAAATGCTTTACTTCAGTTTGGCTTTAAGAACTCACAGGCAGATTCTTCGTTGTTCATTTATAAACATGAAGGTATTATATGTTATTTTCTGGTTTATGTGGACGACTTAGTAATCACTGGAAATAATTCCAAATTTGTAAGTTCTATTGTGGAACAACTTGGCCGGAAATTTTCATTAAAAGACATGGGGTCCTTAAATTACTTCTTGGGCGTGGAAGTCTTACCCACTAAGGATGGCATCTTTCTTTCCCAACATAAATATGTCTGTGATTTGCTATCTAATACAAACATGCTTGGGGCCAAAGAAGTCTGCACTCCTCTCTCCACCAGCACACCTCTCAAACTCAATGATGGTACTGCTTCTGTTGACAGCACTGAATACAGAAGAGTAATTGGAAGCCTCCAATACCTCTCCCTCACTCGCCCAGACATCTCATTTGCTGTGAACAAACTGTCTCAGTTCATGCACAAGCCTACTCAAACTCACTGGACAGCAACAAAGCGTCTCCTGCGCTACTTGAAACACACCATCTTCCATGGTGTTAAACTTACCTGCAAGACAAACCCCATTCTCACAACCTTTTCAGATGCCGATTGGGCCGGCAACTTTGATGATCGCACCTCCACTTCAGCCTATATCAGCTTCCTCGGTTGCAATCCAATCTCTTGGAGATCAAAGAAACAACGAGCTGTGGCACGATTGTCGACTGAAGCAGAATACAGGGCTCTTGCTAATGCTGCCTCTAAAACTGTTTGGCTACACTCTCTTCTTCGAGAACTTGGTTTCAAACTTCAATCCGCTCCATCAGTGCTTTGTGACAATCTTGGAGCTACACATCTTAGTTTCAATCCTGTGCAACATTCAAGGATGAAACATATCCAAATTGACCTTCACTTTGTTCGAGATTTGGTTCAACAGGGTGTTCTTCAAGTCAAACATGTTCACACTCAAGACCAGCTAGCAGATTTATTAACCAAACCTCTCTCAAGGCAGCGGACGGAAATACTCAGAAGCAAAATT